CTCTCTCTCTCTCTCTCTCTCTCTCTCTCTCTCTCTCTCTCTCTCTCTCTCTCCCCCCTACCCTTACGGTACTCTCGCTTCTACTCAGCTGTCATATCAACGCACAAGACCGCAGTAGTGCTTCTGCATTGAGCCAGCAGCATAATGTATTGACGTCCAAGCACTGCTGGACTTCTGTACTTGTTGAAGCTTCAATTTGGGGCTCTGATGTTCGGATCCGCTACACTATAGCCGGGGTCGGCCTCCAACATCCGAAAGTAACGGCCTTCCTGAATACGTTGCGCCTAACAATTGTTCGAACAGACAGATTTCCAGGGACTGCCTACTGACTTTTGCAGACCCTAGGACCTGAAAATAGCTGTCGACTACGTACAGCCTGAATCTAAACCACAGGCCTCTACAACACAACCTACTGGACCTATCAGGTGGAACTACGGTACAATGGGAAACTGGGACTTTGGGACTGGACTGGGGGTACTGAGACTCGTGAATCCTGTCAACTTTGTCTTGCCATGCCAAGCACCACCTGTGCATGTACCTGCTCAAGACAACTCAAATCACAGCAGTGAGCATCCAACTCAAACACTCCAAGATGTGCACAGAGAATAGTCCAATGGCTCTCCTCCCCTACAACCACTTGAATGCCATCCACAATTATTATCCAGTACAAAGTTTCATCTTGAGCGAGGAACAACAACCAGAAAACCGCCCAAGAATAGTGCCCAATTTTGTTCGAAGTGCCTCCCTCTGTTGTCTGTTCCACCATAGCCTTCTACCTAGGTGGCTACCGGCAGGTAACATGTGCCTTTGACTTTCTCCCGCTTGTAGGGGCTAGCGCTTTGTCCCTTACTGCTCTAGAAGATTACTCCGTGTCCCTTGGCCAGATAGCGCTCGACAGCATGCAGTGCAAGGTATGAGTCTGCTTCCTCTTATCCGCCGTAGCCTAGAAGCTCAAGCAGCATTTGGCAGCATTAATGGCAGCAGTGCAGTTTAGCACTGAAGCGGCTTGCCAACCTCCCTCCGAACTGCGTACTGGCCTGGACTACCGACTAGCTCATGTAGAAAATCGGCCAGCCAGTTCCTGGGCCAGCAGTACCAGTCCTTAGGTCAGGCCTGTTTGTTGGGTCAGTAGCCTTGTTCCAAATTTTGCCTGGCTGGCACCGTGCAATCTCCAAGGCCGTTACCATTCAATTTCTAGGCCAGTGTCACCGAGCCTATAGTTTCTGCGGCAGGTGCTTGCAATAACTCAGCCCAAATCCGTATTAGCCGTGAGCTGTAGGTCGGCACTTTTGGTCAAAGGCTCGAAACAGGGGTGAAAAGTCATGCCCTAAGTCTTGGTAATGCCTGGACAAAGGCCTGATGTCAAGTGGTACCCAGGGCCAGGTCGAAACTGGCCTTCAGAGGCCCTATGTGAAGCAGTTGACCCTGGGAAAGTCAATGGTCAACCCCAGCTCGGGAATCCAGGCCCAGAAGTCAAAGTCAACTCGCTGGTCAGCCTCGGCCGTAGATCGGATGCACATCATTGGTTGTCTGCAGGTATCCAGAAGAATCCGGTCCAAGTGGGACACATGGGGAATCTGCAACTGTACGACATCCAGTCCATTGGCTGCCGACAAATCTGGGCCGTCGTACCCAGGAGACCAGAGCCTGGTCAGCGTGAGTCACCACTATAAGTTGACCCAGCCCCTGTGTGAGATCATTCAGTCTTGTGCGTTCTGCCCGACGCTGGCTTGGTGCTAGTCCGGCGTCGCGAGACTGGCGGAGCTTCATGCTGGTGCCATTCTCTGTGTGTTGGCACCAGCCGTGTCGGTGATTATGCTGACGTGGCCATTGGCACATTGATTGTGATATTGACGGGAGTAAGGGCAAGCAGGAGGAGGATCTGGACTGTGAGATTGGTATGAGGGAAAAGGAGAGGCTTACCTGGATGTGCCTGTGACGACGCCTGTGCTTTGCTGTTTGTCCTCAAGAGGGAGATCTGCGCCATCCTCCTTGGCTGCTGCTGAAGTGGCAGGAGGATGGGCACCCTGCCGTGACCTGCTCGTTGTGTATGTGAGAGATCATCAGGGAAGAACTGTATTGCTGATGTGGCGAGTTGGGGAGGGAATGCCCGAGGAGGAAGAGCGCTTGAGAGGGATTCTGCTTCATTGATTCGTGTGGAAACTCCCCTCCTCCTCCTCTCTGTCTCACCTCCCTCTTTCCTCATTCTCTTCTCTGGTTTCGTGACATTGGGAGACTACATGTGTGACGAGTATGGTTTCATGAACGATTCTGGAGACATTGATGTCGTGCTCTGACAGACATGTACCTTGACATTTGCGAGCTTCTCATCTGACTGGGTTCATTACATGCTGTTCAATTCCCAGAGAAAGTCTTGCCTTTTCGATATTTTATTTGAAGGTTTCAGTTCTCTGCTGATTCAGGCCGGCCTGCTGACTTCGTTTTACAGTTAAGTTCCGGTAGCAAATTTGCAGAAGTTGCCATGTGGCATTTTTCAAAAAGTAGAAATGAAGGACAAGCAAACAAATCTAAAATTAACAAGGGTCAAAACCGAAATCACACCGATCCACATGGAACATTGGTATTTACAAATATGGTGCTATTGCTGGTACTGCAAACCTGTGGGTTCTTGTGCAAAGATTCGCCAGTCAATCACCCTCAACCTTGCACACAAATGCAATGAGCATCCAGACGAGTGTTCACTCTTGGAACCAATAGCTAAGACACAAGAATCACACGAGAGATTGATACTCGAAATATCTTTATTATACAAAGAACGTGTTCATGTCTCCTGCGGTCTCTGGCGCTCACGCAGTCTCAGACGCGGACCAGGTATGTAACCGACTACCGCTTCCTCTCTCTCTCTCTCTCTCTCTCTCTCTCTCTCTCTCTCTCTCTCTCTCTCTCTCTCTCTCTCTCTCTCTCTCTCTCTCTCTCTCTTGTATCGCTCAACCTCACAGTCTCTCTCTCTCCCTATCTCTCCTGCCTTGGACCATGCCCTGGATACACCCGCTCGGTTCAGACTCAGACCTTGGCGGCTATGACCGCGCTGCTCCCCTATCACTACCCTGGCTATGGTTGTCGTTGAGGCTCCCTTCTCCTTCGAGCATTGTCTTGCCCAAGTCGCTTGGTCACACAAGCAGCAGCAGCACTTCCGCATCTTCATGAATGAACAACTGATGAGCCGCTGCCCCATAGCAGCTAAATATAGGACTGGTCGTGGCTTGGCCTGCTTCAGACCGGTACCGGTCAGCCACAGCCTGTCTGCTTCAATCATTTTGTCGGTCGGGAAGCTTCCCAGACTTTCCTGGGACATCCTGCAATTTTTGTGGACTTGGGGACTGGACTGGAATTTCCGGACTCTTCTGTGGGGTACCAGACTGGCTGTACAACAACTCAACCTTCCAGACTTTTCTTTCGGTTACCGGTGAGACTGCACGTCCTCTTGACCTCTCCGGATGTCGGGCCCACTTAGACATACGACGCCCTACTGGCCTATCGGACCTACTCTACTGAACCCTCGGCCTTGGGACTTCCAAACTTCCAAAACCTTGGGGATTTGGTGCCGGGATTTCAGGGGTCTGCAGCGTGAAATGCTTTCACTTGCATAGTGCCTCTGCAGAACCTGCAGAATTCAAAACTCAGACTTTTATTGTGATGTTCAGTGCTCTGCAATCAGCAGAATTTAGGGAACTTCGAAAGATGTTTTACATTTTGTTTCCAGAGTGCTTGGTTTGTGAGCTGTTTTGAGATTGTGCTCTTCTTCTCTATCCCCCCTTCTCTGGTCGCTCTTTTTTCTTTCCCCCCTCCCCTCCCTTCCCTCCCCTCTTCCCTCCCTTTCTCGCTCCAAGTCCTCTTCCCTCCCTCTTCAACAGTTTGTTTTTGTAGGATGTTTCTGAAAAGGGGGTCTGATTTGTGCTCTTCAGTTGTAGACTTGAAGTTTTATTTTAGGTTTTACTGGGCTTTCTGGAAGAACCTGACTTTGAAGGTTTTTGTTATCTGAGCACTGAACAGGTATCGATTGGTGGGAGCCATCCCATTTGCACATATCCGGACATCTGAATGAATATTATCCAGACAGATCCAGGCAGATGCGGACAGACTGGATGCGCGGTCATCCGGATTGCTGCGGGAGTGTCAGGTTGACCGGTTCTGGATGGTCGCAGTGTGTAGCTATGCCATTTATGCATATCTTCTCATGCAATCATCTCCAAGATTTATCAGGTTTTTCATTGATGGCATTAATGCACCGTTTGTTTGTTTGTTTTTCCAACTTTTTTGGTCTTTCTTGAAACAGGTCCCCTTGATTCCATATGGTGGAGGGACATCCCTTGAAGGACATACAACAACACCCAAGGGGGGGGTTTCAATTGACATGAACCAAATGAAGGTAAGTTTCGAAATCATCTCAGCAGGGGTATTTCCGTTGATACAGACCTCGTGAAGGGCAGTTTAGCATCATCGTTTTATGGTCCATGTCTTCTTTTCGTTTTCCCCTCTTGCCAACAGACATGGCCCTCTCTGGTTACTTCTCCATTCTCCTCTTTTCTGAAAGTTTTCCATAGTTGGCTCTCATTTGCTATCAAAAGAAAAAGTGGTAACTTATTTCAGTAATTCAATTATTATCAACTTGAAGTTCATAACAATCACAAAGCTCAATGACTTGATTACAACTTTTGGTCAAATCAATCTTCCCCACCCCGCCGACCATGGTAGTCATGCCAGCGGTCAGCACCCCTGGATTGGTCGGCTGTCGACCAGCTGACTGTTCCACCCATTGGCACCTACAGGTCAGCGGTCAGTCAACACCCCGCAACTATATATATGTGCCGCAGCCCCTCGTTTGTTGTCCTCTTCTCCTTCTCTGCCTACGGTTTACCGGGCGGCTCTGTTTCGCAGCCACCAGTCGCTACTCAGGATGCAGCCCTAAACGTTGAGGGATTGGAACATGATCTGCCCGGATCGCAGTTGACCCCACAAGGCGTAGACCACATGGGGGATCTGCAAATGGCTGACCAGCATTGTTCGGATGAAACACAATTTTGTGCTCCGCCACACACAGACCACATGGGTGATCTGCAAATGACTGACCAGCATCTGGGTGATCTGCAAATTGTTGGCCAGCATCCAACAAACCAGCCTGAGAACCTCAACAATCTCTGTGGTTTGACAGCAACTAATATTTGTCTTCACATTCTCCATCGCCGGTTTTATATACCATCAGACTTCCTTGCAATCGCCCTTTAGCTTGATGCTGATCTTCCCCAACGACAGCCAGAGGATTGTAATTATACCAGCGAAGGAGGCTTTACCATTGCTGTCCTACAAGTAGCAATGAGGGACTGTCAACTTGAACTACGCAATGCTCGAGCAGGTGAGTGGTTTAATCCTCCATCCCACATCTCTGCCTGCATTGTGCACGGCCCTGGCGATTACATGGCCATTGTACATGCCTCTAACCACTAGGAGTTGTGGGACAACGGCACCATGGTCCATGCCATGATTGATGTCACTGATTTCTTACAAAATGATGTTGTTTTCTTGCCACAACAAACCGTCCGCAATCTCTTTTATGCCGAAGATCATTCCTCTGGCCCCGTGCTGCAGCAAGACAATGCACCAACACTCTGTGACCTTCTCCTTTGCACAACCACAAACACTGTTACACTCGGCTGTAGCCGCCATCGTGTCACAATCACTACAATGACATGGTTTTTGCATCCATGTGTGCAGAGGACTGTCCCACCGTTCCTGACTGCAGGCACCCTCCGCATCCGGACACTATATGTCCATTTTGCGGTCATGAGCGCTATACTGAATGCACGCTCTTTTGTGGTGACCGTGCTTCTTTTATTTTGGCCTGCAATCGACATGCCATTTGTCGGGGGTGTATGGCGTGCATGCTCAATGCCACCCGTCGTGGCAATTGTTGCACTGAGAATGCTCAGCTAGGTCTTCCATGTGTTCATCCACGTCATCCTTACAATGTATGTCCTCTTTGTCGCCAAGGACAGACTCATTCTTGAACCTTTTCTTATCCTCTTTTGCCTTCATCTTCACTCCACACTCCATACTTTCCCTTACTTTCCCTTTATCGTTCTTTGTTTGTCTGCTCTCCATCTCTCCTCCCTGTGTTTATCCCCTCCCCCTTCACTCTGCCTCACACGGGGATGGGGGCAGCTCGCGCTCAACGTCATCAACGTGGCGAGCCTTGTACGTGAGAGGCACGGTGAAAGGGGAGTCAAAAGAAGAATGAGTGAAATGAATGGTTTCACTGTGCCCTTCATGTTTGTCTTTTTTTTTTTTTTGCCGTTTGTTTCGCAAATTGCGCTCTTTTAGTTCATAGTTATGTGACAATATATATATATATGGGTGAGGACGCCGCCCGAGCAGTTGGGCCCGGGGGAGCCGCCTGGGTAAACCGGGTAGGCCAAAAAATCGCCTATATATATATGAGTCGGTGAAACTCCGACGAAACAGTTTGTCACAGCCCCTCGTTTGTTGTCCTCTTCTCTCTCTCTGCCTACGGTTTACCGGGCAGTTCTATTTGTGACGATATATATATATATATATCGTCAAATA